CACAGCAGGCCCCGGGGACGTGCCACGTCCTGGCCAGCCCCTGCTGCCCCAGCCAGACCCTTTGCTGGATTCCATCCCTGCGTGTCAGTCCCTGGGGGCTGTGCCCCTCTCCTGGGGAGGACGGGGCCACCTTTGTGCGCCCTGTTACTGTCCATGCCTTCCCCTGCGCCTGCCCCAGCGGGCTGCCGCCGGCGCTGCAGGGAGGCGTCAGCTCTGCCCAACAAACGCTTGTGGCTGGCTGGGGCCCAACGCCCACCGGTGCGGGGCGGGCCAGCACCAGCGTGGAGCCCCTCATCATCAACCCCAACGCCGCTTACGAGAAGTTCAGGGACAAGCGCCTGGGCACCAAGGGAGTGGGTGAGCCCGGGGGGTCGGGGAAGGGTGGGCTGTGGGGACCCTGGGACACTGAGCCGAGCCCAGGGAGGGCACAGCTGCCCTGGGTATTTTGGGGTGACAGCCTGCTCTTCCTCTTCCAGATTTCTCTGACAGCATCAGCAAGACCAGAGCAACGGGCTACGAGTCTGGGGAGTATGAAATTGTGAGTCCAGAGCGCAGGGGGATGTGAGCCACCCCAGCGCGCGGTCCCTCATCCCCACTGGCCCCACAGTGACGTCCCTGCCCGGGGCCACAAATCTCTTGGAATCACAGAAGAGTGGAGGTGGGAAGGGACCTCTGGAGGTCCTGTGGTCCAACCCTTCTGCTCAAGCAGGGCCACCTAGAGCCGGTTGCCCAGGAGCATGTCCAGATGGCTTCTGAATATCTCCAAGGACGGAGACTCCACCATATCTCTAGGCAACCTGTGCCAGTGCTTGGTCGCCCTCAGAGTAGAGGAGTTTCCTGATGTTCAGGGGGAGCCTCCTGCGCTTCCCTTGGTGCCCACGGCCTCTGGTCCTGGCGCTGGGCATCACTGAGAAGAGCCGGGCTCCGTCCTCTTGGCACCCTCCCTTCAGGTGTCGATAAGATCCCCCCAGAACCTTCTCTTCTCCAGGCTGAACAGTGCCAGCTCTCTCAGCCTTTCCTCACAGGAGAGGTGTTCCAGCCCCGTCAGCATCTTTGGGGCCCTTTGTTGGACTCTCTCCAGTATGTCCCTGTCTCTTGTACTGGGGAGCCCAGCACGAGACACAGCACGCCAGGTGTGGCCTCAGCAGTGCTGAGGAGAGGGGAAGGATGACCTCCATCGACCATCACGCTCCTGATGCTGCCCAGGACACCACTGGCTGCCTTTGCCAGATCACATTCAGCTTGGCGTCCACCAGGACCCCTGGGGCCTTTTCCACAGAGCTGCTTTCCAGCAGGGTGGCCCCCAGCACATCCTCGTGCCAGGGGCTGTTCCTCCCCAGGAGCAGGAGTTGAGTTCCCCGTGTTGAACTCCGTGAGATTCCTGTTGGCCCATTTCTCCAGCCTGTCCAGGTCCCTCTGGACAGTAGCATGACCCTCGGGCATCTCAGCCTCTCCTCCCAGTGTGGTGTCCTCTGCAAACTTGCCGAGGGTTCGCCCTGCCCCATCGTCCAGATCATCAAAGAAGACGTTAAAGAGGCTCGGACCCAGCATTGACCCCTGGGGTACACCGGTCGTTACTGGCCTCCAATTAGACTTTGGGCCAATGATCAGCACGCTCTGGGCTTCACTGTTCGGCCAGTTTCAAGCCACCTCACTGCCCGCTCATCCAGCCTGGACTTCAGCAGCTTCTCTTGGAGGATCTTATGGGAGACAGTGTCCAAGGCTTTCCTGAAGTCCAGGTAGACAATAGCCACTGCTCTCTCCTTGTCTACCAGGCCAGCCATTTCATTGTAGAAGTTTATCGATAGAGTTGGTCACAGAATAATAGACTCATAGAATGCTTTGGGTCGGAAGGGACCTTTAGAGGCCATCCAGCCCAGTCCCCCTGCAGTGACAGGGACAGCTTTAACCAGAGCAGGGTGCTCCAAGCCCCGTCCAACCTGGCCTGGGGAGTTCCCAGGGGACGGGACCGCCTCTCTGGGCAACCTGTTCCAGTGCTTCACCACCCTCATTGTAAAAAATTTCTTCCTTCTATCCAGTCTAAATCTATTCTTCTTTAGTTTAAATCCATCACTCTTTGCCCTGTCACAACAGGCCTTGCTAAAAAGATTGTCCCCATCCTTCCTATCGGCCCCTTTCAGCACTGCCAGGCCGCACTAAGGTCTCCCCGCAGCCTTCTCCTCTCCAGGCTGAACAACCCCAACTCCCTCAGCCTGGCCTCACAACAGAGGTGCTCCAGCCCTCGGATCATTTCTGTGGCCTCCTCTGGACCCGCTCCCGCAGCTCCATGTCCTTCCTGTGCTGAGGGCTCCACAGCTGGACGCAGGGCTGCAGGTGGGGTCTCACCAGAGCAGAGCAGAGCAGAGAGGCAGAATCCTGTCCCTTGACCTGCTGGCCACGCTGCTGTTGATGCAGCCCAGGGTACGGTTGGCTTTCTGGGCTGCCAGCGCACACTGCTGGCTCATGTCCAGCTTTTCATCCACCGGTACCCCCAAGTCCTTCTCTGCAGGGCTGCTCTCAATCCCTTCATCACCCAGGACAACCCCCCTGTATTGATACCGGGAGTTGCCCCGACCCAGGTACAGGCCCTTGCACTTGGCCGCCTTTTGAACCTCATGAGGTTCACACAGGCCCACCTCTCCAGCTTGTCCAGGCCCCTTTGGATGACATCTCGTCCTTCTGGCACGTGAACTGCACCACTCAGCTTGGTGTCATCGGCAAACTTGCGGAGGGTCCACTCAACCCCACTGTCTACATCATTGATGTAGATATTAAACGCTTGTCCCAGTACGGACCCCTGAGGGACCCATTTGGACATCGAGCCATTGACCACTAGCCTCTGGATGCGACCATCCAACCAATTGCTTATCCACCGAGCAGTCCACCCATCAAATCCGTATCTTCCCCAATTTAGAGAGAAGGATGTTGTAGGGGACCATGTCGAAGGCTTCACAGAAGTCCAACTAGATGACATCTGTTGCTTTTCCCTTGTCCACCGATGCAGTCACTCCTTCACAGAAAGCCACTGGGTTGGTCAGGCAGGACTTGCCCTTGGTGAAGCCGTTCTGGCTGTCTGGAATCACCTCCCTGTCCTCCCTGGGCCTTAGCAAAAAGCTTCTAGGAGGATCTGTTCCATGATCTTCCCAGGCACAGAGGTGAGGCTGACAGGTGGGTAGTTCCCAGGGTCCTCCTTTCTTCCCTTTTTAAAAATGGGCGCAACATTTCCCTTCTTCCAGTCAGCAGGGACTTTACCTGACTGCCATGACTTTTCAAATATCATGGAGAGTGGCTTGGCAACTACATCAGCCAGTTCCCTCAGGACTCTGGGATGCATCTCATCAGGTCCCATAGGCTTGTATAGACTTTCCCCTTGTTGAAGCCATGCTGATTTGTCTTGGTGGTTTTGTCATTGATGTGCCTGGAAATGGTTTCCAGGAGTAGCCGCTCCATCGCCTTCTCGCCAGGGAAGAAGGTGAGGCTGACGGTCCTGTGGTTCCCTGGGTCCTCCTTCTTGACCTGCTTGAAGATGGAGATGCCATTTGCTTTCCTCCAGTCCTCTGGCACTTCTCCCAGTCACCATGACGCATCAAAGATTATCAAGAGTGCCCTTTGCAATGCCATCAGCCAGATCCCTCAGCCCTCGCAGGTGCATCCCGTCTGTGCCCACGCACGTCTGTATGTCCGGTTTCCTTAAGTATGCCCTGAGCTGATCCTCTTCCGCCAAGGGTGCATCTGCCCTGCTCCCGCCTTTCCCTCGGCCTCTGTGCCCCGGGGTCCCTGAAGGCCGGTTGGGCTGGTAGAGGCGGAGGCAAAGGCCTCGGCGGAAGAGGCCTCGGCCTTCCCCCCCTCCTGTGCACAGCTGCCCCGCCTCGTTCAGCAGCGGGCTCCCGTTTCCCCTCGCCGTCCTTCTGTCACCTGGGTGCTTACAGAAGGCCTTCTTGTTGCCTTGGACGTCCGTGGCCAGGCTGAGTTCCAGCCGGGCTTTGGCTTTCCTAACCTCATCCCTGGCTGCTCAGGCAACGTCTCTCATCCTCGCAGGTTCCCTGTCCCTGCTGCAGGCCGTGCCTCCCTCCCTTCCATGTGTGGGTTTGGCCAGGAGCTCCTGTTCACCCAGGCAGCCTCCTGGCTTTTTTGCCTGACTGCCCACTTGTTGGGACGGAGCGCTTTGGAGCTTGGAGGAGGTGATCCTTGAACATCAAGCAGCTTTCTTGGTCCCCTCTTGCATCCGTTGCCTGATCCCAGGGGGCTCTTCCAAGCAGACCTTTGAAGAGGCCGGCGTCTGCTCTCCTGAAGGCCAGGGCTGTGAGCCCCCTCCTCCCCACCCTCAGCATCCTGAACTCCACCGTGTCACGGTGGCTGCGTGCAGGCTGCCTTTGACCTCCCCGTGCCCAACGAGGCCCTCCTTGTTGGTGCAGATGAGCTGCAGCGGAGCCCCTCTCCTCGTTGGCTCCTCTGTCACTTGGAGGAGGACGTTGTTGATGCGCTTAGGAGCCTGCTGGGCTGCTCATGTGCTGCCACGCTGTCCCTCCAGCAGGTCTCTCTCAAGTCCCCCGTGAGGACCAGGCTCCTGTGGACAGGAGGCTGCTCCTCCCTGTCTGTCGAGGGCCTCAGCCCCTTGTTCTCCCTGGTCAGTGCCCTTTCTTGCCTTTCTGCGCAGGTATGGGCGGGCAGCGAGGGGAGTTGGGTAGCGGCATCCCAGGTGCCGCCCCCCGCCCTGGGTGCCCAGTGGCACAGGCAGGCCGTGAGCCCCCAGCTGACCCCCCGTTCCTCTCCCTGCAGCTCGGCGAGGGTCTCGGTGCCAAAGAGACGCCCCAGCAGCGGTACCAGAGGCTGCAGCACGAGGTGCAGGAGCTGGTCAGGGAGGTAGAGCAGATCCAGGTGAGGATGACCACTGCCCTGGAGAGCAGTGGGGAGGCTGTGGCAGGCAGGGGGGTGACACTGCCACCTTTCTCCCCCCGCAGAGCATGGTGAAGGAGTCGGCG